ACGATCTTAATTGTTGAATTATTATGTTTATTCTTGTGCTACAATGGAGTACCACTCAGCGTCAATGCTGAGCGGATAGCGTTGTTTTCTTTTGTTGTCCGTAGGTGATCAGACAGATGAACCTAGAGCCGATCCCAGAGGGCATTGAGGAGGAGATGTACGATGGCGTGGCTGTCTCTTTAATCTGTTGATTATGCTTTATTTAATTAACTTTAATGCTTATTACGTTTTCGGGCAAGATCCCAAGTTGTTTGACTTTAAAAAGGCTTCCGCATTATTTTAAATTACTCCGATGGATTTTTATATGTATTGAAAGAACGTTTGTTTAAAATTGTTCTGATAATGTTGCAAATTCGGATACCAATTCAGTGACACACCGGTCCGCTGTCTCACGGGTTTGGGTCATGCGGGTTGGGGTGTTACAGTTCAGATGCGGATATCTCTTCCTACAGACCTTCAGATTGAAAACTGACTGGTGGAAATCAAACTCAATGTGTCCTGAATCTGCCCCTAAAATTTCAGGACAGCTGGACACTGTTTGTCCCTCCAAACGTCAGCTCAAAGAATGTTGCGCACAGAAATCTAAAAATGAAATATTTTCCTTTTTTTCTCAAATTTTCTACGTTGCTCTCTTGTTTTTCTCAATTTCAATGAGTCCTAATGAACTTCTACCTCTTACTTCATCAAACCATGAACTTGTTACGTATTAAGCTTTACTTGGACTTTCACATAAGAAGTGAGTCCAAAACTCAACATAAAACTCACCTAATTTACTCTTTTCTTATTTAAAACTATCAAATAAACCGTTGTATTTATCAAAGGAATTCAAACAATTGATACAAATATTTCACATCAAACAACGATGCATCTAACGAGACTCTTGTTATAAAAAAAATAAGTGAAATATAGCTAATGTTTTAGACAAATTTTTTGTTACAAATTAAATTGTCAAAAAAAAGTTAAAATTGATTATATGAATAGTGAAGAAACAATTTAAACCTGGACGATCGGGACTGGGCAGGGAATGCGGAATGTTAACATTTGAAAAACTATTATGGGCCGGTTCAGAGTTTCAAGCTTAATAAATGTATATGGATCAACTAATTCATGTCTTCAGGCCCAATAACGTGAACGACGTCGTAGCTCAAGTGCCCTTCAATGATCGGCACCTCCTCGAGCCGCAGCCTCAGATTTCCAGTAAGCGCAGGCGGAGGAGCTGCAGCCGCCGCCGCCGCCGCTCAGTGGTATTGTACCTGCACCGTTAGATTCGCCGAAAGATAGAGATGGAGGAGGAGAAGGAGAGGAAGGAAATAGAGAGCTATGTGGTGGTGCACAACATAGCGAAGAGGCACAACGTGGGGACACTAGCTCGCAGCGCCACCGCCTTCGGCGTCTCCGAACTGATTCTGGTCGGCCGGCGAGACTTCAACTCCTTCGGAAGCCACGGATCCACGTCTCACCTTCGATTCCGCCACTTTCACTCCCTCGCCGACGCTAAAATCTTCCTCACGGTGATGAGAAACTCAGTCTCCCTCCCTCCATCCCTTAGATAATCATCGATCTATAAGTTTGTATTTGAAAACAAAAATTGTGTTCAGGATAGAGATTGCGATATATGTGGAGTGGAAATTACTGAAAGTGCAGTCTCTGTAACTCAGCACCCTTTCAAAAGGAATACTGCTTTCCTCCTTGGCAACGAGGTACTATAACATTTTTCAACATGGTGTACAAAAAAAAGCAAATTTTCGACATTTTGGAGCTTTTTCTTCTTCATATTTTCAGCTTCGTTGCGCGGAAAGATATAGAATTTGATGATGATGATGATGATGGCGATTGTATGGCTTTCATAAAACATTGTGCAGGGAACAGGGCTTTCGGCAAAGGAATGTGAGATATGTGACTTCTTTGTATACATTCCGCAGTATGGGTGCGGGACGGCTTCTCTGAATGTCACTGTGGCTGCTTCCATTGTTCTCCACCACTTTGGAGGTAACTACCATTCTTGTTTTTAGTTATTTCGTGGCTGTTTAGTTCCCCTATTTGCTTTTAAAAATAATCTGCCTAAGGTTGCACTAACCAATAGTAACAACAACATTACCCCAGCACCTCAAGGGCTCCCCCATTGCGGGCAGGGGAGGTTGGATGTACGCAACTTGACTCCTATGTATAAAACATAGAGCGGTTGTTTCCATTGACTCACTGCTACTTCACTATTATAGAAACGCGTACAATTTAAAGAACCATTTTGAGTTTTTGACACAAGAAAAGAAAGCATGGAGCTAAAATAAGGACGGATGTAGTAAATGAATCCAAGAGCTCGGAAGTACTAACTCAAGCGTATGATCAATAAAGTGAATTCAAAAGGAAGTTTGAATTCTGATACACTTGGGATGGATGAATCCTGGTTGCAAAGGGTGTTGATATAAAAGTAAAGTAAGTACGCGTATAAAATTTAGGAGACGTTTGGTTTGTTGAATGGTTTGTTACTAGTAAGATTTTACCACTCATTTTCTTAGAATGGTGTATTAACTTGTGTTATGTGAATCCTATTTATGTTCATAAAATTTGATATAGGAGCTATCCTAGATTCATAGGCATTGGGAGAGCACATAGTCAGGGATTTGTATTAACTGTGGTAAGAACATATGTGCATGTTGACTATTGTATTATTTGTATTCTTGTACAATTCGATACTTTAGAATGTAAAGTTGATGGTCTAAATCTTGAATCCTTTAAATTCAGCTGATAAAGTAACCGATGCATCACTTCTTTTTTAAACAGTCTACTGTTTGGTGAAAACATGGCCAAGAAAAGTGTTTACAAAAGAATCTAAATGGACAAAGAAGACATTTCGTGGATTTTAATAATGTGTAAAAAATGAATTAATTGATAATAAATTCATACGCACGGGAGCATTGTTATTCTTATTATCAATATGGAGGAAAAGCTCGTCAGTAATGACATTTTCACTTTTTTAAAGCTTGGGCTAAATTCCCCGAGAGATCACGCGAAGGGAACAAGTATGTTGTTGCTGAAAGACCTGCAAAGCAGGGTAGGAGAAACCTCTGCATAGAAAGTGTGGAGTCTCTTTCTGAAGAGCGAAAACTGAAAAGGGAAAACGCTTCAAATGGATTCTTTGATGAGATTGGCAGAGAAGAATCACCTTCCAATCTCCTAGATACATTGTTTGCTGATTAAGGCCCCGTTTGCACCAAATTTTTGATGGCGCAAATTAACCTTCAAACCCCAAGGCTAAATGCTGTTGGTACGTAGTCTTTTCAAAATGCCGAAGCTCATGCCAAACGTATACTAAGTCCACGGTAGAGAATGTGTACTAATACAGCCGAGGCATTGTTGTATGAACTAGGTTTTGTTGTCAAGTAGGAAATGTGTTTTTTTAAATAATTCCTATTAGAGCATAATTTGCTACAGACACTTTCTTTTCAGTTGAAGTTAATTTGTGGTTTAATCTGTGATTCTGAATTAGTTCTTTGCAGTTTTGAATTCTTTTTCTGAAAGTTAAAGTTTTATGGTTCAGTGTAACTGTATTTGATCATGAGTTTTGTTTTGTTTCTGTTTTGTTCGATTTAGGTCATGTTTTCTTCAATAGAAATCATCCTAAATAGGACTAAAACATAGAGAAAAAGTACCAAAATAGGACTTTCATGTTTTTTTCCCGGAATAGGACTTTAGACTGTGGTAATGTGACTTTGCATTGTGGTAATGTGGCAGTGTACATGTGCAAATTACTATACTTTTTTGGTAATGTATATGACCATGTTTGATAATGTAAGTCATATTTCGGGAATAAAAACATGGAAGTCCTATTTTGGTATATTTTCAATGTTTTAGTCCTAGTTTGGTCTTTCTCTCTTTCTTCAACTTAGGTCATGCTCTCTTTAACTGATCTGATTGGAATAAATTTTTATCTGCTTTGATCTGATCTGGTCTGATTTGAATGTAACTATATTTAAAGCTATTTCTGATATGATTTGGTTTGATCCGGTCTGATTCCAATAAAAATAAGTAATAAGTAAAAAATAAGTTTAGGAGAAAATGACCTTATTTTTATTACTTATTACTCCCTCCGTCCCAGATTATAATGCATGTTTACTATTTACATGGTCAAATTTCATTCACTTTCTTTCTCTATTTTCGTTAGCAATTTGATAAAATAAAATATTATTGTCACTACTAGTTTTGTAGATTTTTTGATGTAGTTTTTTAATATGTAATTTTTATTTTTTAATTTTATACCATTTGTCATATAAAATGGTTTGAAAATAATTTCAGTCAAACATCGTAAACCGAAACAGG